GAAAACCAGGTGGCCAGTCCGCTGCAAACCGACTACCGCCGTAGTAGCTGAAGACGACAGGAGAGGCAGCGTCTGTGGAGGGCTGGATGACTTCTGGCTTAGAATGGGAAACGCTTCGAGGCGCTGTTGATATCTGCCTTGGATGGCCAGGCTCCTCGTCCTGTGGTGCGGGCGATGGCGTGATTGATGGTTGAGTACTGAATTGAGTCAGTTGACGTGCAGGAATAGCACCTGAAAATGTATGGCAAATTGTTAGATGGTACCGAAGGATGACACCGACGGAAATCCGAGCTTGTGGTGCAACAGAGGCGAACATGCCTTAGACCGCAGCCGACGGTGTGCTGTTAAATCACGCATGTACTTGGCACGTGCAGGCCTTTATTATACGGTTTATGGTGCAGGCACATGAGGAGAAAAAGGCGTGCTCTTCTCTTTCTTTTGTTGTGTTGCTTGTGTGTTTGGCTGCAAGCAAACCATTAGTATTTATTGATATTTATATTTGTTTGTTTATTTAGTGATCTTGTGCGCCGCAAAGGTTGCAGTTCAAGGGCCGTGCTGCAAAGACGCGGCAGTAAGCTTGGGGTCTAGGGTGCCCCAGTGCGTCCCTTGGTTGAATTGCTGCACGTGGCCGGCGGCTTGAGACGAAAAGAGGACGTGGTAGATGTGGAAGCCGCTGCCGCCGAACCGAGGCCAGGTCTAAGATTGGGGACAGGTAATCGTCCGGCTCTGACCTGCGGCCGGGGAAGACTGAACTTGTATTGTCGGGGTACGAAGAAAAAGGGGAGCGAAAATCTGCTGGCGTAAGTACTTTGGATCTGATAGAAGGTGGTTGCTTGAGTTCGATAGGGCTGAGAACAGTTTGTGTTTCCCTTGGAATAAGCGGGTTATGGGAGGATGGATTAATCGGTGGAGCGGGTTCGGTGTGGTTACCGCCGAGAATCTTTTTTCGTGAAGAGGTTGACACTGGGGATGGTCTGACTGGGCCAGTGACGTTTGAGAAATAGAAAACGAATGAGAAAGACATTGGGGTGTAACTGAATTTGATACGACCTGGCCTGGTGTGAGGGCTGATGTGGGGTTGTATTGCTTCTGTTACCGTGGGATGCACCGCGGAGTCGTTGGAGTTGATATTAGTTAATATTTGATACCTGTGCTAAGTTATAGTTTTAACACAGCCGCACCGTAACTTTAGTCCTGCTGGTGTTTAACATTACAGCTAACAGCTGATGAGAGTTGTTCTGGGTCCGCTCCACTTCAGAGCCCTGACAGGGTTCTACCTGGAGCCAAATTACCTCAGAGGTCGTCTCCTCTCCAAAACAAACAGACCCGGTCATTAAAACATTAAAACACAGCCACGTAGCAACGTTAGCGTTAGCTCTGAAAACAGCTAACAGCTGATCCAGGTCTGCCAGGGAACGCAACGTAACTTTTCCTTTTTATTTACCAACAGAACTGTTGTTTCACAGCTCATGACTGGTGAACAACCTGCAGCGTTTGAGAGCGATGTGCTCATGTGTTTCTCCGGACACATGGACAGAATCCGGACCTGATGTGGCCCATTCTGCGTCCAGAACTGCTGCGTTTATATGTGTTTATTTCTTTGTTCCTCTCTCTGTGCTGGAGTTCTTTAAGAACTTGGTGGCTTGATCCAGATTATTATTAAATTGGTTGAATTTTAATTAGAGTGTGTTTATTCATATAGTGTATCAAGCTTATTACTGCAAATCTGATATTAATATTTTACTCATGAATAGGGACGTTAGGCTACTGTATGAATGAGCACTTCCATTTCAGTAATTATATACATAAGCCTTTATATGGCTGGTCTGGTTGTATTCTCGGCAAAGATTGTGAAAATGGAAGGATTTATTCAGGTTCATTTATTTCTGCAGCGCCACAATAACAGCCTGGTTCAAATGAACGAAATGACTCGAACTTGCCATCACTAGCGGAAATTGGATGAGTTTGAGGTGTCGCCTCGGTTCCCGAATCTCGTTTATAAAACTTCACTTTGTAACGATCAATTTAGATTTATTGTGGTTTTACCGATACTCAAGTATACAGCTTCTCCACCTCACAGTCGCTGTAACTAACGTGACCCACATAATATACAACACTGCAGCAAAACGGTCACAACAACACACAATAATCCAGTAACATTACAGTAAAGTTACTTACTGCTGTCTAACTGTTATAAAGTGTCACACAATTTCATTATAATATTCAGTCCAGCTCAGTAGCCATTTCGTTATCATCCAATACATGAACGTTAGCTGTGTTGACATTGTTGAGCCTCCGGCGAAAGATACACAGACAGTAAAATAGTTAACCGAAAAGCAGATAGGTGATCTAACGATGTAGCACGTCGGCTAAATGCAGTAAATGTGCTGTTATCATGTAACGTGTATGGATTAGTTAAACCTGCAGCTGATAAAAATATTACTGTTACGTTGCAGTGGGAGTTTACCTGAGTTTCCAGCATGTTGTGTGAAGCGGTCTTTCTGTTTATAGACACTCTCGCACTGCCTTTTTTTGGGAGTACTGTGCCAATATGCCGGTGTCTCACTGCGCTGAATGAAAAGTATGGTGCCGGTGTTGATCTGCTTCTGAGCCGGGAACGTTGAAGTAACAGAGCCTGAACATGTCTGAGTGAAAAGCCACAGCCTGCATGCAGGTGTTTCTGCATTTATTGCATGGTTTCTGTATGAAAGCGGTTGTGTTTTGGATTATGCTCGCTCATGAGTTCAAGCGAGCACGCGTACGAGCACACACCTGGTTGCAATCTTAATACTAATGGCCCTGAAAACGCCATAATGCCCCTTTAAGTAGTAAGTGTTATTTAGTAGTAAGTAGTTTTAAGCAGGTTGCCTATGTAGAATAGAATACATGATATAAATACATCAGTAATAGTAGCAAAATGTAGTTAAAGTATTATAAATAAAGTGAGTACTCATTATGAAGCAGAATGACCCTCTCATGTCATTAATATATTATATAATAATTGTTATATTATATAATAATATCACATTATGTAACTGACCGATAACTATGTAAACAGCATTTTTGTGTTTTACCTAATGGTAAGCTGCTGTTAACTACTTTTTTCAGGCAGTTTAATCTATAACTATAGTAACCAGACTCTTCTGTATGAAGAAAGTGTGTCGGCAGTGGACTATAATAATAAGGAACAGTGAAGTGATCTGAAAGGACTGTTGGCACTTTGACACGTTGAATAAGAATTTCAGTACTCAGCATTGTGTCCATTTTACATTGTGTCATGTTGACAGTCCGCTTTGATGAAATTAAATAATGGGTTGTTTTTTTTCATTTCCTATCAGTGCCTCCATGTACAGTTATCAGTCTTCTCTTCTTCAACTTATAGTGATTTTTTTATTATTTTATCAGCTGCTTATTTTCTGAATTAATCAGTTCATTATTAGGTCTATAAAATGTCAGAAAATAAGTTGCAATTGTCCTAAGTCCGATATGATGTCTTCAAATAGCTCATTTTGCCTCACTGACAGTCCTAAATCTCAAGCTATACTGTCCTTTAATGGAGTTACAATATTGACAAGCAAGTTATGCAGTATTTCATAAACACAGAGCAAGACAATTCAAATATGCTTTATAATTTTTAGTAGTCGCTCTCTAGCCTGTTTTGGGTACAACAAAATCTGTTGTTCAGGGCATTTACAGCACTTGTCAGTATCTCTCCATCACACATTACACACTATGTAAATATTATCAGTGTGTGTGTGTGTGTGTGTGTGTGTGTGTGACAGATATTTTTAGCCTTCCTGTTCGTCTTGCCTGTCAGCGGAGCTGACATTGATCATGGTGGAGATGACAGGCTCGATATGCGTCGACGCTTTCACATGTTTCTGCACCGTTGATTGTTACCAACCTGAAAAGCGGAGCCATGTTTTCATCTCATTTAGATTCTGGTCAAACAGGCCTTTCTTTGATCTTTCATGTGTCTTTATGTGTATAGATGTTATTTTCAACAAATCTGTGCCCAGAGAGAACAAACCCAACCTTGAATTTGTTGCAAATGTGGATTTCTCAATTCTGTTGACATCAAACTTTGTAAACACTGGAAGTTCAGTTAATAAGATGTCATTTTGGTACATGCTGTAACTAAAAAAAATAAATATGAGGTTACATTTTACATTACATTGTAGACATTTAGAAGGGGCTCTTATCCAGAGTGGCTGACAATGAGTCAGCGGTGCAGGAGTGACAATAAGAGTGTGTGGGTGTTAAGACAGAAGAACAGCATCCCTCTGTACAGCTAATGCTTTTCATAGGTTAAGTGAGTGCTGCCTCTTAACAGCTCAGCGATGGCAAAATAACCCGGCTTTCATCAAGCTTACCGCTCAAAATCTTATCGAATTTTGCTTGAACTTAACTTAAACAATTATTTCAATTTAAATTATACTAACTTAACATTTCAAAACCAAGCCTACAAAATCTAACAGTCCCTGAGTAAATGTTACATTATGTATGTACATAACATTCCTGTGATGTACATAGTGCTCGGGTTGTGTTTGATGTCGATAGAAAATGGTTAATACTCTTTCTCATGTTCCACATGTTATACAATCTGTCTTCACAGTAGTCAGCTATGACCATGAGGAAGTTCACTTCTTATTTTGTGTATCTCACTCACATCAGATACAGTGCTGCTTGAATTTCTGATGATTACATATACCAAGTTGGGCCTATAGTCACTGTATGTCAGTGTACTCTGTTCAGCACTTGAGCTAGCTTGGGGTTGTAGTGTTACTAGCAGACCAGTGTATTAATCATGATTGTGGTATGAGTTTTACTACCAGACCACGATTTTGGCCTCTAAGCAGCCAAGGCTACCTTGGAAGTGATAATTTTAAAAATAATGAATAAATGCCTGGAATGCTAAGCTCCTTAGTTTCTTGGATTACTGAATATTATAAGGCAAATGGTGATAAATATTCTCATTCTTTCTCTCTCTCTCTCTACAGTGTGTTGTTTCGTGGTTCACAAACGTTGCCATGAGTTCGTCACTTTCTCCTGCCCAGGTGCTGATAAAGGACCTGCATCAGATGTGAGTACAAATTAAGAAATCATTTTAAATCATATGACTGTGTATGAAAGCGAGAATGAGTAGTGAAAGATCGAACGCGAGAGAAACAGAGCCTGCACAGACATCACATGAGCCACCGTCACCTGTCTACACCAGTGTCACGGTTGAGCTGCCTCCATCTTTTTCTCTCTCCTCCTTTTCCTGTCTTGACAGTCATACCTTACCGTCACACACTCACACACAGGAATTACTCTAGTGTTTATATTTGATGTAGAAGTTGAATACAGGCATGTAACACTCGAAGCTGCTCGACACAACCCATATTGTCATATTGAGCAGCTCCACTGGTCCCCTCGCATGCAGAGTTTTGCATCACTGTATTATTGTCAAATAAAACAAAATAGATTGGCATGGTGTAATTACTATAAACAAATGAGACTGTGGCTGAGATGACAAGCGATGGTATAGATATATTTATTTCCTTGGGCAAAGGTTTTCTCTTGCTTCACCAAGGAGATAGTTTTATTATTTTACAACAGTGAATCACAGTGGATGTAATGAGTATATTTTGCGATTTAGTAAAGCATTATATTGTTGTGCATAAATGCTTGTTGAAGGCATACAGCAACAGAAAAGATGGAAAATACTGTGGATAAAACCGTCCAGTAGATATAATACTTTTTAGGGCTGCAGCTAACGATGATTTTAGTATTCGAAGCTTCGATTATTTCAACGATTCATCGATGCGTCATTGAAGAAGTACTTTTGCTTGGCGGCGGCGGTAATGGGATCAGCTGTGCTTTATAGGTGATAGATATTTATTGGTCCTTTCGGAAATTTATAGTGTGTCATACAGCAAACATCAGACCAACAACCAGACAGCTGCTTTACAAACACAAACATCACCCGAGTGCTATACAAGCTATACTGAAGGCTCGTGCAGACTACACGACTATCAGCGTCAGCCGATGGCCGTGCCGTTCACACAACTTGCCGTCATATGACGGCAGTCTTGAAGTTGTTGTGGCGTTCACTCTACGTGACTGATCGGGGTCAGGGACACACACACTACAGGAGCTGACAGCGGCTCTGTGACCCGACGCTGGTCTCCAAACCACATTTTGTCAAGAAAACACACGTTAAATGTGAAACGTTGTTTGTTATTATAAAGATAACAGTTATAAAGACCGAGGAATCTGGGTGAAAGGATGGATTAGCACACGCAGGTAGCAGGGATTATTTGAGCTACAGAGAGAGCTGGAGGGGAGTTAAAAGGTGCAGCTCCCCGACACCCAGTTAACTCTTGACTGTGAGGTTACAACTCACGGCCCAAAAAGGAGAACAAACGCACGTGTGCACATTTTCAGCTGAGGACTGCAGCTTACTTTGGCTAGCCTTCAACTCAACAATCGATCATAATTTCAGCTAAATGCTAAAGTTGCTGCTACCTTGTCTGTGGTCCGCTGGCAGAACACCGGCTGCTTTCTGATAAGGCGCCGTCGTGCTGTTGCCGAGGCGGCATAAGTTTTGTTGGACACTTTCTTTTTTGTCCCTCTGTGTTTTCTCTCTCTTCCTACACTTTGCAAACAGCTCCATTATACGTTGTGTTCACAGCGTAAGCGCGATGTGCGACAGTAATAAATGTCCCTATGAAACACTGTGCTGTAAAATTACATGGATTAAATGAAGCATCGATGCAAAGAATTTGTGTCAAAGCATTTTATTAATCGATTTTATCGATTTAATCAATGAATCGTTTCAGCCCTAATACTTTTTGCGCTAATGGGGGAGTGAAATGGACTTAACACTCATCAGATCATAAGAAACACGACTCCAAATGAATGCTTATGTTGTCTTGAAAATTAGAAATTGTCTACACTTTACAACAACAACAACAACATATACTTGTTTAGTCTGTGCTCACGTTTTCCAAACTTCGTATAATAATCACTTGACATCAAATGAAACAAATCTGTATCCATTATGCACGTACACATGCACACAATTGTTGTAAGTTATGCCTGCTCCTATATTATTAATTGTCATTGAACAATGTCACACCTTAATATCTGCTGTAACAACAGGAAGTACCTTCAAGTGATACTTCTATCATAATCTCATCTACTGAGTCAAGTAGCTACGAAGAAGTGTCTTTTCTCTTATTTCTATTATTTAAATGCAAACTGTTCATTATCTATCCTATCAAGAGGAGAAAGTTAGTTGCCTTCCTTCTCTTAAGAGCACTCTCTGGATTCCAGCTTCATTCTCTCAAAAACCCAGGGGTCTTTCAGTTCCTCAGCCATGTCCTTACCTCCCTCTGGAGTGCCCTTTCAGTTTGACAAGCACACTTAGTGAGCCGCCCCCAGAGGAAACACTGGTGTGCACTGTTTGGCTTCCTGTGGTGTGTTCTGTATGACTGATGAATTCTATGCAGTCTTTCTTTTCTTCTTATTTATATGTCTACTTATTTTTCTGTCCTCCTTTTTCTTTGATCGCTTCTCTTTCAGTCAGGGCCAAAATGGCCAGGGCTGCGTACCTAAATACATGCTAAAGCTTTTCTGAAACCATTTTCTATGTTGTTCCTCCTCCACTATCTGTAGGTTCTTAACTTAAAGAATATTTTTTTCTCTTCTTGCTCCACCATCCTAACCTCCTCCTTGTATAATATTTTTCTAATCCTGTATTAACTTGTGTTGATTTTAAGATTTAAAGGTTCAGTGTGTAATATTTCTATGTTTTTATTATCTTAGAATGAGCCATTTGTATCTACATATACCGCGAGTCCCCTTACAGTGACATCGCCATGTTGCTCCACCATGTTTCTACAGTTGCCCGAACGGACAAACTGCTCTACAGGGAGTGTTTCGTTACTACGTTGAATACATTTGAAGAAGAAGATGAAGAAGAACAAGTAACGTAGTAGTAGTTGGCTGGTTTATTAGAAATATGAAATGTGCCTCCATTTGTCAAAATTTGGACAGGTAAATTTAGCACAAGAGCCCTCAGAGAGTGTTGGATGCCGGAGCTTCTCCTGCGTGCTTGCAAGGGGAGGGGTGAGCGGTGAGTGATGGTACATTCATGTGGTGTCAGAATATTCACAAGCTTTTTTTCCTCCTTAAATCTTTATTGTAAAAAGGGAAATAAAGTGTACATGAGATATAAAAAAGTATAAAGAAATTAGATTCATGCAAAATCCCATATTGCCTATACATAGTTTGCAAACATGTAATTTGTAGTATGGTTATGTTATGTATAGTTTGTAAACTGTGGAAGGCTCACACAGCTTGCCCTGATATATTTTGTTTTGTGCGAGTCCATGTTCCCATATCTCTGCAACAGAGTGGTGTAAGGTTAGCATGACCCATAGAGTAACAATAACCACAATTAAAGGAAATACGCTTGAATTTTCTTTCCTTTACCTCCTCCAAAACATCTTGAAACGCCTTTTACTTGACTTTTTGAACCCGGCAGATAACCTCTTTCTTAATTAGTCATTTCAAATGTCATTCCACATCCCTGTCTATTCTCTCTGAATGCTTTTTTGGCACTTATTTATATTTTTATATTTGGCATACATTTAACTCTCCTCTCCCTGGATCTCTCTCCCACTTCGTCTCTCCCCACATCCCTCCCTCCATATCTAACTCTATTCTGTACATCCTCTATTTAAATGCCACTCCACCCAGGGGGCCCGTGCTCTTAATCACGGTGCATTGCCACCCCCACCATGTCACTTCCTTAATGAGTTCATGGTCTTTTGACCTCGGTTCCTGCACAGTGGGAATGTAGGATCTCTGCTCCAAACTAGCTGCACATTTAAATATAGGAGAGAGGACGACATGTAGTCCGCTCTGAGATTATGGGAGGAGGAGGCTCACAATGCACAGAAACACCACGGTTTTCCGCTGGTCAAGTAATTCCTTGAAAATAATCACATTTAGTAATATATGTGAGGGATTTGATACATGCTCTGGAGAAGTCTGGGAGTATCACATATATTTACAAATGTTCCTCATTGCAAGAGTACTAAACAAGGAAAGAATGATATAATTTGATCATAGTAGTGCTCAGAATTTGTCATGGAACATTACGGAACACCTGGGTCAAGATTGTCTAATAATGGTGTCAGATTTGCACAGCTTGACACAATGTTTACACCCACGCACACCTGCACAGAAACAGCTTTTTGAACTTGAAACACTGGAAACAATCTGGCAGTTAGCAGTTATATTTCATGTAATTTTCATCTTGATCATGGGACATATTTATGCATCCTTGACAGTTTTATCTGTCAAATCGTTAATTAGAACAATGAATGGTTAAGCCGAGTCATGCTGTTTAAAATGCACTTTTGCTATGCTGCCAAAGGAAACTAAAGCTGTGTTTTTCTCTCACTGTGATTTCCTTTTTCTCAAGATTATAAAAATCTTCCTTGGTTCCTTGAAAACCATGAATATCCAAATAATCACTGAGGCAGATTGTTGTTTTGTAAAGCATTTTCAGTACACTGAATTGTCACCACTAAATGTCCAAATTCAGGAGTAATGCTCGGCTCAAATTGGAGCCAATAGTGTCAGTGTAGAGCTCAACTAAAATGAATGAATTTATTTATTTATTAATGGGGGGGGTGTTCATAATTCTCTAATTTCAGTTTCTCAGATGTGACCATTTGGCAGATTATTAAAATATTAAAATAGTCATTAGTTGCAGGCCTATGTAAGTGTTATAATGATTAATCTACATCAGAATAAAATAACTCATTGATAAATCCTGAGCATTTCAGTAATGGAAGCTGATAGTGTGGAGTGAGTGAGTTCTTTGTTGGTCATACACATGAAGGAACCGCAAAGTGGGACACAGGATATATGCTTATAGGGGAAGACACAGTTGTCCGACAGCAGCTTTATTCTGTATAATTAGTAATATTGTCACAGCACATTGTATTTTCACTGTCTGAAACAATCAGCCCACCACTCCCATTGTACCTCGTGTCCATCCCTCTCTCTTCCTCTCACTGTCAG